CATTAAATGACATTAAGAATTCAATAGACTCCTCAAATATCAGGTATTACTTTTTGAATATTTAATTCTTAATTACACGCTGTGTGATAGTTCTGACTGTATTTTAGAGGTGAACATTGATTATAATTAAAGGTTTAATCTGGTAACTTTTACTTATAGGAAGGGTTCCATCTAAAAGGGGGGCTTCTTAAATGAGCAGTTTTCTTTTTGAATCTATCACTGAAGTAACATGTTAAAAAAAGTTAAGTGCTAAATTGATGCAGCAACAACTAGATTTTCTTGTTCTTTAGTAATTTATGACAACTAAAAACTTGTTTTAGAACATTGTCTGATTTTGAAATCTCACTAGTAATACAAGTATTTGAAACCAGAGAACAGTACAATTTCAGTATTCTTTTAGCATACTCAGCCTCTTGTCTGTAAATATCAAAAGGTGGCATATGAGACAATTAGAGGTTCTGAGCAGCTTCCATTGGCAAGATTTTAAGCCAAGAAACAGAAGAGCAGCCATATTTTGCCAGATCAAAGGCCAGTCTAGTCTAGATGGGCCATTTTTCAACAGTTGTCACAGGCAGCTGCCTGAGGAGGCATCATAAAAATAGCAAAAATGTGGTAGCAAGAGAGTGGTGGTACTTGTCTGGAGTACCCTGCAGCCTCCAGCAATTTGTGACAAGCATTTTATGCTGCTAAATTATGTAATTTAGAAAATAAATCTAAATGCTAAGTGGGTTTTTTTAATATCCTCACTACTTGTATTGCTACATAATAATGGGAGGCTGTACACATGAATTTTTAAATTTTTTTCCCAAAGATAGTAGGATGGCCTTTTGATTTCAATATAGTTATTGAGAAATGCTGTTTTATAGCAATTTTCATTAGGAAAAACAAAACCAAACCTCAGACATTAGCGAAACTTCTTTATAATCAACCCTGCAAATTGCATATTGGAATTGATTCAAGTAAAGGTTGATGTGCCCAGCAAAGAAAGTGATGATGTTTCCATTTCGTGGGAATATGTGTTCCATTTCACTTATTTTGGCCATTTTAGCATCTCTTCATAATATTTTAATTTCACTAGCTCTGGTCTTGTTAGAACCTTACTTTACAGTGACTCTTGATTTCTGGCAGTTGTTTGTGCAATTTGTGTTTTCCCACATTTCTGTGTCAAGCTGCATTTGTATGTACTGCTCTCTGATTCACCTGAATTTTTATACTGGCTAGGCTCACATCTTGATTTTGCACTGTAGAGATTTCAGACATAATTCCTACATATGGAGTTCAACATTTCTTACTTTTGTTCTTTTTTTCTTCCCACAGCTGTTTTCAGAATAACGTTGAGATCCACGTTGCACATATTCAGAGTGGTCTGAGCCAGATGGGAAACTTACATGCTTTTGCAGCCAATAACACCAACAGAGACTGAAAACTTCCTTTCAAGTGTACAGCAAGTAGTTCTGGAAAATCTTCTTCTTCCTTTCTATAGGCTTCACCAAATACCCTAACTGCCAGAAGATAAGGGAAGAGAAAACCTCTCAGAAAGGACCCTTTTAAATATATTATATCTGCTTCTTAAGGAAACCAGCGTTACATTAGATTTCTCCATTTGTTATTCACATGCAGTAGTTTTGCTAACTGGTAATCTCTTAGTAATTGCATTGATTATAGTAAACTTGAAAGCATACTTTCATATGATTTGAACTTGGTTTTTAAAAGTTCAGGTGAATTCTGCACACCTCTTGCTGTTGGATCTCCTGGTATGTTAGAAGTGCTGAAGAGGAAATGGCTGGAGTTAGTAGGCACATGGCAGCTCTTTGTTGTGTAAAGCTCCACCTCTGTGGAGCTCTTGGGAGCTGCCAGCTCAGCCCTTGGGAAGCCCTGACCTAAGGAAGCAGCAGCAGGATACAGCCAGCAAACATAAGCTGTAAACTGGAGGATGTTGGGCAGGTCTATCGATCAGTCGATGTCTTGTTGGAACTCTTAATTTATCATAACTTATAGAAGGAGTCTAATGAAGGAATATAAAAATGGAACTGTTAACTTTCCAGAACAAGATTGGTTATGGCTTTTTTCCTGCACATGGGACAAAAGTGTTTTAGGTGGTATTTTATATAAGTGACTGGTTAAACTTACTGTTTTTCCAAATTCTTGTTTGTTTTGCACAAGTTTTAAATTAGATTACTGGTTATTCAACAATACTCACCATATATAAATATGAAGATTTTTATAATTAAAAATAACCAGTGAGGTAAACTGCAAAACTAAGAAGTGATAGCCTGCCTATACCTTTTGGAATGTTAATCTTGTAAAAAGTGTGTATTGGTTTGTTTAAATAGTCTTGTAAAGCTTCTGTGTAATGAATTGTTTCCAGATATGGATTTTCAGAGATAGCTGTAGAGATGTTTTTGATTCTTTTAGATGCCTCATTAAATAAGGTCTTTTATATGTTAATGTATAAAGAATATGTAAACAGGATTATTTTCAATTTTAAAATTTTGTATAGTTTAAAGATGCTTCTGTATTCTGTGTTGGTATTGTGCCACTGCAAAACTTTAGTGCAGAGTTTATATTTAGCTAAATTTGTTCTGTTAATTAAGAGAAATGCATAAATCTTTTATTCTCAATGAAATTTGTAACTGAATAAATTGACCTATGAGAGTTGATATATTTCACAAAAATGCAAAATTTTTTGCAGATGGTCTCAGGTCATTTTTTTAAGAGAAGCTAATTGCTGAAAATGAGATGTTATGAGGATGAGGTGAGTAGCTGTTTTAAAAGGTATTTATAAATTTACAAGGGATACTATAAAATAATGATAAACACTAATTTAGCTGAGTTACCCAGGAAAACCTGCCTCTCATAGTGCAATAGAACATCACAGTGGTCTCTGCAGTTGTTTTGTAATTATATCACTCATTTTTCTGTGTTGTTTGATAAAGACAGAAAGGAGTCCTCTGCCACCACCCTTTTCATGTAAACAGAGAAAGGTGCCAAAGCCTAATTTAAGGTACATTAGTTTAGTCAGGCAGGAAAGGATCTGCTCTACAGCTAACTCAGGAAGAAGGAACCATCCCCTGGCACCCCTGAACTCAGGTGTCTGCTGCTCCCTGTGCTCTGATCCCCTCCTGCTGCTGGGACTCAAGCTCAGCATGAGCACTGACTGCTTGTGGGGAGCAGGACTTGAGTAGGAAACACCAGGAGGGTAACGGGGCCCTGCTGATGGCAAACATCCCAAACTGAGGGGGAGACAAGTTGTAGATACCAGAGGATTTAGGAACCTGCTTTTCACGGCAAACCTTTATCCTACTGGACACAGAATACATTGCAATAACCACCACACTCCCATCTCTGATTCCTTGAGTATGATGGTTTTTACATGTGGATACTTAAATATGCTCTCCAGCATGTTCTCTGTTGCTGTGGGTTTTTTGATTATTGGAGGGTAGTATACCATAGAAAGATCTGTCATTTGTGATTAGCCAGTTACCTTCACATATCATTTATCCCACTCATGTAGGCAATGTGAATATACACATCTTTTCTTTTCTTTGCAAGGCTGCATTTCTCCTTGCTTGGGTCAGAGTTAATGTTGAATCTTGGTGACAGTAACAAATCCAACTCCTTTTGCTGAGTGTGCCCCAAGCATAGCAGGAGTCTCAGGAGCTCACTGCAACTAGCATACATGAAGTCTGCAGAACAAGTTACTTTGATTTATTATAATCAGTAAACCTGAATTTACCCTGAGCCCCCAGGAAACCATGGTCTCATTTTCTGTCTCTTCCTGCAAGAGCTTCTCTCCTGGGGCTTGCCTGATCCCCAGCATAGCACCCAAGTCCACTTGGGACAGGTGATGCCTGAGGTAGGTTGGTTGGGTTTTGGTTCATGTTTTTTTCAAGGGTAGCTCTGGGGTTTTTTTTGATGGACAGTACTAATCAGCAACCCTGCCATGCCACTGCACCTTGCAGTCCAAGCAGCATTCAGCTGTCCCAGGTCTCACAGCACAGGTATGTTATGGGGTGGCGCTGAGGGATTTTGTGAATTGGTATCCTTATTCTGTGGGGCTTGATTCCTGGTACAGGGTATTTCATTTTTCCTGTGCTTCTGGCATTTGGGTGCTTTTCCATACTTTATAACTTGCTTTGCTAGGCTCTGAAGTACTGTTTTGTAAGCAGGAAGAATTTGGCTTATGCTCAAAATACATACAGAGTAATGTGTCCTTTCTCAATAAATTGAATTAGAGGAGAGACTTCTGTTGTTTCTGGTTTTGCCATTCTCAGTGCAGAGCCATTCAGCCCATGAGTGAACAGCTTCTGAGCAGTCCCTGCCTACAGCTAAAGCACCCTTACAGTGTCCACAAAATGCTCCCATTTCTCTTAGTTTAACATTATCCTTGGCTTAAGTGGCAGACCTGGAGGCTTTTGTCTGAGCACTTGAGATCTGGAGGTTTGTATTACTTAGGCTAGACATTCCCATTTTCATTTAGGGATGGGGATGTTTGTTTAGGGCAGATTTAAGACAAATACTGACAGAGAAAGTTTAAGGCAGTTTCTGTAACCTGTCCTTTGGGCCCCTTAGGTCTCTTACCAACACCTGAACTGCAGCCATAGCTCTCCAGGACCTGGGAGGAGAAGCTGCAGCTGATATCTACCACTCCTCGACTCCACCATCAGCCACGGTAAGAAACCTTGCCCCTGCACCAGGTACACACACAAGCAGATCAAAAATGTAAACCTTTATTTTCTTGGTCAAAAAACCCCGACAGACCACATTTTTTTATGACAAGCCCCCATCCCCAAAACACAGTGGATTTGGGTTAACTTTTTGGCTAAAGAAGGTTAAATAGATACACTAAACATGATACAAGAAAGCTTTAAATACAGTGTAAAAAGATGCCCTCAGCTGATGGAGCCGACCCGTATCTCTCTTAAATAAATACGTACAATCAGTTAGTAGCGGATAAAGTGCAACAGTGGCAGAGCAGCAGTGAGGTAGCGCGATGTGTGACTGCTCCCCGCCCGAGCAGCGGAACGGGCTCCGGCGGGAGGGCTCAACCCGCCCGGTTTAACTCCTGCCGGTGCCGGTCCCGCCGCAGCGGCGCTCACAGAGCGCGGAAAGCGCCGAGCGCGTTCTCCTCCCACTCCGAGCCCGACTCCGAGTAGCCGCTGGTGTCCTCGGCGTCCGACACGGGCGAGTACTGCCCGCAGAAGGCGCGGGCCGGCGGGAAGGGGCCGGCGGCGCTCCCCGCGAACGGGCCGGGCTCCGGCTGGCCGGGCGGGAAGCCCTCGAAGCCGGGGCCGGGGGGGAAGCCGGCGGCCGGCGGCCACGCGTAGGGGGCCGAGCCGTCCTCCGTGCGGGCGGCCGCGGGGAGGGCGCAGCGGGGCCGCTGCAGGGCGGCGAAGCGGGGCGGCCGCGGGCAGCCCGGCGGTGGCGGCGCGGCGGGGCCGGGGCGGGGCGGGCCCCGCTGGCGGCGGGACTTGGCGCGGCGGTTCTGGAACCACACCTGGGGAGAGAGGGCGGCGGTGAGCGCGGCGCGGCTGCTCCCGCGGCATCGGGCGCGGCACGGCCGGCGCCCCTCACCTGGATGCGGGACTCGGGGATCTGCGTGGCGTCGGCCAGTTTCTCCCGCAGGTAGATGTCGGGGTACATGGTGTCCTGGAAAACCAGCTCCAGCGTCTCCAGCTGCGCCGCCGTGAAGCTCGTACGCTTCCGACGCTGCGAGGTTGCCGGCGCCCCCTCGGACGGCTCGGCCGGGGGAAGCGCCCTGAGGGCGGGCGAGGCCGGGCCGGGCCCGCCGCCCCCCGGCCACCTGCCCGCGGGGAAGGCGGGCGGCTCCGCCGGGGGCTCCCCGAAGCGCAGCGCGGCCATGGCAGCGGCGAGGAGCGGGCTCGGCCGGCCGGCCGTGCTTTATAGCCGGGGAGGGGGCTCGGCAGAGGCGGGGGTGCGAGGGGCGGCCCGGCCCGCGGGAAGGTGAGCGCCGGGCTCCCCGCCGGGCCCGCGTCCCGGGCTGCCCGTGGGGTGCCCGGCGGGGCGGCCCCTGCCTTGCCTTGCCCAGCCCAGAGGAGTCAGTGATGCTCTAAGCGTGCCCCTCGGGGGTGGGTGATGGCTGGCAGCCCTCGGCTCCCCGCCCGACACACAGACAGCAGGAGGGAGCAGGGAGCGGGCTTTGCATCCGCACGCAAAACAGCTGGGTGTTGGGAGTTTGGCCCCCCGGAGAGGACCAAAACAGCGGCTCGGCTGTTTCTAATTCAGCGTCTGGGCTGGTCGGGTTATGGAGTTCACTTATGGAGGTAGATGCTCTGGAGCAGTGACTGCTTTGGCAAGTCAAGGATCGTGCATGGTGTGAGACATAAAGCAAACATGAGTTATCTCTTCCCGTGGCCGTGACTGCTCCGCTTGCAGCGCTTCACTGCCAGCTGTGCGGGTGGTGTACAGATTCCTGCTGCTGCAAAAACTTCTCTTTCTTTTTAAGATGCACGTTAAATGCAGCTGGAGAGCCTTAGCAGAGGCAGGCAGGGCAGAGGCAGACATCGATGTCATCACCTTTTCCACCACTTGCTAATGCCTTTACACATTGCACTGGCACATCCCATGTGCCTCTGCCAAAACTGATTCCCAGATGAGAGGTCTTGTGCTGAAACGCTGCCTACACACCCCAACAACACCAAGGCACTTAAAATGGTTTGTCTTCTTATTACTTTTTATAGCTGTCTCCCAAGAAAAATTACTTTGTACAGAAAATCATGTAGCAATTGTTAAAAGCTGGTTTTAGAAGTTTTGTTCCTAAAACATTTGTGCTTTTACATGTGCAGCAGCCCAGATGCTTTCATGCCTGAAGTTTCTAGGTTGTTCCCAAAATCATGGGCTGTAGCCTGCAGACAGGAGTCGGACCCATAAGAGTTGAGCAATGTTCTCAGCAGTGTAACAAGAGGTGGTGAGAAAGGGCACAGGTGAGTGGGGCTCCAGAAAGCACAGACAGCATTATTTAAGGTTTTTAGTGCAAAACTCATTGAATCACTCTGCAGATTGCTTGCAGATTTAGAAGATGCCACAGGTGGCAGCAAAAGAGAATTATTCCAGATTAAATTTACATGATGAATGTTTTATTGTATTTTACATCAAATAATATTCTGCAAAACATAGCAGAGGTTTCTTTTCTGAAGGATTTAATCCTGCTTGGAATTATGTCTTTATAAGAATATAGTTTCTAGGATTTGGTTAAGGTTGATTAAGGCAGCCAGACAGAGAGCGGGTTTTTGAGGAAATGTGTTTTTTCACACACACACGTGTTTTTCTTGCAGCAGCAGCCCAGGCTTAAGGAGCTGCTGGCACCACAGGCCCCCCACTGTTCACCCCTGTGCTGCTGCCTTCCCTTTAGCTGAGCATGTGTCAATCCACACAGTGTGCTCAGGGAATTTACCCAAGTTAAATTAACTGTACAGCAACAACAGCTGGGCTTGGTTGGTTGGGTTTTTTCAATCCAGATCTGGCATTCCTACCTTTGAGTTATCAATGCCCCCAGGATGGCTGTACAAGTGAGAGAACACTGCCAGATGGAGCAGGAGGGAAATGAGGGGATCCCATCTGGGGTGCTTCTACCTGGATCTGATTCTGAGCTAGCAGAGAACAAAACTGAGACAGACTGCCCAGGAGCGTGGTGGTTTTCAGTGTCAGACTTCCCATTGAGACAGCTGCCAATGTATATTGAACAGATACTCAGGAAAGAGTGAGTACTGGGAGCTAATAGACCTGTTCCCAACTCATAACCTGGAAATGGGCTGACTCTTTGATCTCTGGCTACTGTGACATCCTTCAGACCAAAAGCCTCCTCTGTTCCCTTGCCCTTTATGGTTCCAGAGGTGTTCCAACAGCTGTCTTGTGACAGCAGCTGACACACTTCCCTTGGTGAGGAAAACAACAGTGAGGCTTCCCAGGCCTGAAAACTTTCTTTGGGAGACACAGAGGTAACAATTATAGCCTTTTAAAAACTCTACATTGTTACAATGAAAGTAAAATAACTTCCACACCCTACATTTTGTGGCATTCCGCGTTGTCCGTGGATGCAGTGTGACCTGTGGCTCTGCCCTGTGGAATGGGAAACTGTGTGTGAGTGAATTGTGGGCAGAACCCCTGGTGCAGCCCAGGATTGCACACACAGGCCCTGGCTGTGGGGTTCCCACTCAGACTCCTCATTACCTGGCTACAGACAGTTGTATTTTCTAGCAGATGTGCCTGTGAGTGGATGAGAGTGCTCTGAGCAGGTCAGGCTCTGCTGCCTGTCTGCAGGTGCTGACTTCTGTTTATTCTAGTCTGCCTCAGTTTCCCTGTCTGGGCTGGCTGGCTATTACCAGCATGTTCCCATATCTTGGTGATGAGTTCCTTTCTGCTTTCCAGTGCTATGTGCTTTTGCAAAAGCAGAGCAATTCTGGAGCAAGACCAGAGCACAGGAATTATATTTTCCTTTTCTTTTTGCTCACAGCATCACACATTAATTTTTGCCAGTGGGATCCTTGTGGCCACCCTTCTATATTGGCATGGTCTGAAACAGGTCTAAGATTGAATAAAAGCAAGGGGGACAGTACTGATTGTAAAGGAGCACAATCAGTACTCAGTACAGTACACTTGTAAAGGAGTGTGCTTTAGGTGGACAGAAGAATAGGAGGCTTCTGCCTCCTCCCAGGCAAGCAGGATGACATGAAAGACAGCTCCTTGCTTCCTTCTGGCAGTTCTGTCCCCTCCCAATGCTGGCACACTTCTCCACAGCTCCCACAGAGAATCATCCCATGATGTCCCAAAAGCTGTGCCTGTGGGGTAGTGCAGTGTGCCTCCTGCAGCAAGGAAAATGTGCTGTGTCTGGATTCAGTGGAGTTTCCCTCACAAGTAGTTTTCCATCCTGCTGTGCCCCTTGTAGGCTGACAAAGAAGTTTTTGATGCCTTGTAGGTGCCAACATCTGCATGGACTCATACCCAGGTAAGGGCTGGAAGCATTTAGAAGACATTCAGTTTTGTCCTTTCCTGTTTTCAGGCTTGCTTTTATTTGTGTCCCACCAAGGTAAAAAGAAGGATTTTATGTCTTCCCTCAAGAAGCAGAAGATGTGACAGAAGTCCAGAAGTGGCTTGCTTTTTGAAATTAACATGGCAAAAACTAAGAGAGCTATCTCTAAAGGAAAAGCAGACTGCCTTGTGCTGATATGAAAAATTACAGGCTACTTCAGAAGCTGTTTACACTGATCTTCACTCTGTTTGTCAGGAGAGAAACTTCTGGTGCTTTTGTCTGTGCTGGGAGTGCCTCAGCAGTGAGGCATCTGTGCCAAGAGGACTCACAACACAAAATGTGCCTGTAGCTGCAATGAAACAGCTCTGAGCTTCAGCTGGAGGACACACTCTCACATCACTGCTGCCAGCTCTGAGCATCCAGCAAGGGCAAGACAGCCTGTGAAACACCAAGGCTGTGGAGCAGCAGGGGGAGATGGGCCCTGTGGTGAGTTTCAACCTTTTGTCAAGCTGAGGAGGTTCTCTCAGGCTCTTGGTGCTACAAAGTCATCTTTTAAATGTGCAGCTGAAGATGCTGCTTTATGTGACTTGAGGAGCTGAGCTTGGGAAGATCTCAGAATGCAGTGTGACCTGCAGTCATGGCTTTGCTGACAAGACAAACACAGCCCTTGAAATAACCAACATGTGAGCAGTTCTGCTGCTCAGTCCTGGAGGGAATGGGACACCTGGGGATTGGCCATACAGTGATTTGTAACCAGCCCTGCAGCCTTGGCTGTGTTCAAACTCCTCTGGCTTGCAGATGTCACATCACCCTGTTCCTTCTGGGGCTCTGCAGGGACACAGTTTGTGCACAGTCTTTTGTCATTCCAGCAAGGTTTATTGTTTTCTTTCTGGTGACTGTCTTCAACATGAATTCTCTGGTCACTAAACCTGAGATTGAGGTTTTTAGAAGTGGAGATTTAGCAGTCTGCTGTCAACTTGAGTAAATTTGCAAAGATTTGGTATCTTGGAGATCTCAGTTTCTACATCAGTTTTAATTGAAATTGGCCAAAAAGTTCAAATCTCATCACAGAATCATAGAAAGGTTTGGGTTGGAAAGGACCTTAAAAAATCATCAACCCCACAGACAAGGCTGATCAGAGCCCCATCCAACCTGGCCTTGAACACTTCCAGGATGGGGCATCCACAACTTCTCTGGGCAACCTGTGCCAGGGCCTCACCACCCTCACAGTGAAGAATTTCCTCCTAATACTTAATCTAAACCTCAAATCTCAGTTTGAAGCCATTCACCCTTGTCCTGTCGTGACATGCCCTTGCAAAGAGTCCCTCTCAATGTATTAGGATACTGACCAAAAAAAAGGGACAGTGGTCACACAAACCTGATTTCATTAATTTAGAGAAAGTTTAAGAAAAAATAAAACCATATTTTTGCTGTTAAGACTTAAGTTTAAGTATCCCTGAATAGCTTGTCTCTGAAGAAGCAATCCCTGGATAATTACCCTACAAATTAAATTAATTGTAGTCCAGACACATTTTCATGGTTGCATATATAACTACATTTGCTCCAGAGTTTCTGCTGGCAGGAAAATACCATATAATTTCCAGCTTCTCTAGCAGGGCCCTGATAGCAAAAATTGTTAATGCATGCTAGGCTTAGGTTTTGAGGTTTTTTTCATTCTGCCTAAGAGGAAATCTTTGTATGAATACTTAATTTCCCTTTGATTGCTTCTAGTCATTGTGACAAAGCTCTTTACAACCTCGAAATGCTTTTAGAGGTTTATCAGGTCTTTCCAATGTGCAGACACAAGATCTATATATTGAAGCCCATCCCAGCTTTTAGGTAGAGTTCTGAGATCTCACAATGATGTCATGTTTTTAATTTAGAGTTGTCATTTTTCTAGTCCTCACAGCTTTAACAAGACAGAGCTTGAGCAGGGTGGGCTGTGTGTAGTCCTCACTCTGGCATGGTGGTTTGCAGGTGCCTTGAAATAAATTCCTGGAAGGCCCAAGCTGCCTGTCCATTGTGGATATTCAGGTGTGTCCCTGCCAGAGTCCTGTGCAGGGAAGAAGGGACTTGCTTTGCTGCTCAGCCCAGGGAGAGTGTTCAGCTCCAGCTGGGACACAGTGAGGGGACACAGCCAGGTCAGAAATGGGACCTGGCCATGCTCCAGGCTGTCCCAGTGGGTGTCCAGGTGCCTGAGCCCTGGGGAGTGAAAGGGAGGTGGTGCTGTCGGTGTCCTGAGTGTGACTTTGGCCAAGGGGCTGAACCCCTTTCAGCACTTCTGTATGGTACAGAAGGTACAATGGGCACATCCCCAGTGCCATGGAGAACCAGAACAATGTCAAAACCAGAACCTGAGCACTGGGGAGTGAAAGGGAGGTGGTGCTGTCACAGTGTCCTGAGAGTGACCTTGGCCCAGGGGCTGGGCTGAACCCCTTTCAGCACTTCTGTCCTGGTACAAAAGGTATATTGGGCACATCCTCAGTGCCATGGAGAACCAGAACAGTGCCAGAGCCTGGTGATAGCAATCCCCAGCACAGGTTATTTCAGGTTTGCCCAGCAGCTCTGTGCACAGACAGAGCGTTAAAATAAATGCAACGTGACCAGAGGTTATGTTCTCTCTGAAAGATGCCTGCCTTGCTTGGCTCAGACCTGATGACCTCTATAAATGCACAATCTATTTTCCTTTGAAAATTCAGCTGTGTCCCCTTGGCTTTGGGCACGAGGAACTAATAGTGTGTTGTGACTTTAGCCCTGTGCTTAGGAGGGGGATGTGACTTGGTGGGGTGAGCCATTTCCTGGGAGGTGTGAGACGTGACTTCAAGACCTGCTGGTGCCGTTCGTGTATTGCGCTCCGAGGAGTTGATAAGAGCTTCAGACACACAGAGAGCCTCGGAGGAAGCCGTGGTGGAGGCGGGGAGGTGCAAAACCGCGGCGAATGCATATGAAAAGATCAAGGGGCTGTATTTGCTAAACCCCAGCAGCAACAGAGCTGGGGCTGATGCCCAGGTTCAGAGAGCACCCAGACACAGCAACAGGGCAACAGCAGAGCGTGTCTGATGGCTGGCAGCTGGCTCCCTACCATCGGAGGGAGAGGAGGATTCAGGATTTGGGAGTGGAAGGGAGATAACAGCAAATGGTGGGGGTGGGAAGAGGGAAAGGTCAATAGAGAGGAAGCTACCTGGAGATAGGAGGGCCTGGCTGAAAGAGCGTGGGATGTTTAGTGTTGAATTTAAATATACTTAAACCTCAGCTTAACTTTGGGTTTTGAGATAGCCTGAGAGTGGCAGGGTGAATGTACCTGACCCTCACTGATGATTCTGAAGTGAGGGGACATCCCACCAGCAAACCCTAGGCATAAACAAACCCTTGTTGCAATTTCTCTGTGTGCCTTCTCTGATTTTACATTTATATTTAATTTATCAGAGAACCTAAAGCTTCTATTTAATAGAATTTACTGTATTGCTTTGCTTACTCACAAGCTCTGAACAAGGTCATTCCCAACTCTGAGATATTTTCCTTAATGAAGATTTGCTGAGAACTGTTGGTGCAGGTGGTTGTGTATACACAAAATAACAGCATTATGCAAACTCCCAAGAATGTTTAATTAATTTACTGTGAAAGCAAAGGAATATATTTGCAGATGAACAAAAAGAAAAAAAAAAGAAAGAAGGAAGAAGATAAGAACAGAAGAGCTAAGGAAAAAGACAGGACCATGTTTTCCTCCTTTTCATTCAGCACCTACTTAGGAGAGGCAGCCTGCCAGGGTGCAGCCAGAATACACACACAGAGTAGGGCAGGCAGGGGATGGATAGCAAAGAGGCCACATTCTCCTCTAACAGCACTGGATAACACCATGAAAAACTCCAAACACTCCCTTCTCTTCCCTTTTTCAGGCTCCTTAGCCTTAGCAAGCAGTGCTAGGGCATTGTTTTCTACCTTTTCTTGGCAGGCTCTTAAACCCTTATCATCATCCCCTGCATGTGGTAAGCTCTTCCTTCTACTCCAACTTAACAAATGAGTCACAAGTCTCTGTTTGTCTTTCAGTGTTTGGTATCTGAGAGCATCAGCTGCTGAAGTGGATGGATTTTTATGTAAATGTTTATTTATTTATTTGTTTGTTTGTTTGTTTGTTTGTTGCAGCTTGTGTCTCATGGTTATTGAGAAAAGGATCCAAATGTGAAGCAAGTTTTGCTCCAATGGTTCAAAACCAGAAGAAAATGCACAGAACCAGAACTGGTATGGTTGGATGCCTGTTACAATATGAACACAAACCCATGATCTTTCTCTGCCCTTGGCTGCCCTGGTGCTATTAAAACCCACCAAGTTTTCCCTCCCTGAGTAGGACTGCCTGGAGAACCCTTCATCTGGCTTCCCTGTGCTTCCCTGCTGCTTCTCAGGTATGTGCCAAGGTCAGTGCTCTGGCTTCAGTCTGATCATTCATTCTAATCTTCAGTCTAATCATTCATTCTAAATGTTTCCCACCCTCTTTTCTGATCAGTTTTGGAGATGGGGGGCTTTTAGTCTCACATAACACTTACAACAAAACCATTTTGGTTTTGTTCTTGCATTTTTTCTGGGCTCTTTTATTTCCAAGGTTTTCAAGCCTCTGTAAAGTTTGGAAGATTTTCAGGTTTAACACGTGGATGGAACACGGGAAGTTTCTCCTGAGCTGGGGTTTTGCAGTTGATCATTAAATCAGCAGTACCACATGATCATAGCTGGGGGGTGCAGTGGTTACTATGCCATTTGATAAAGTCATTCTCTCCTGTGCATGAATTGACTCATATTTCTTTGCTATTTAAAGTCAAATTAAAGAGAAGTGCCACGCAACACACTCGGTAGGCATTATTTCCGTGGGTTATCCTGACTTTTGTGAGCCCACAGCACAGTTTTCTGGTGCCTGACTCACAGAGAAGCTCCATGAATTTGCACAGATCAGTATCTCCATCCTCCTCCCCCACTATCCTGTCCCCTGCCTCAGCCATCCCAGATAATTTTGTCCAACAGAGTCCTGTGACTCCTCCTTGGATCACTCCTCTGGGAAGGGCACTCTCATGTCCCTGCCTCCAGCCTGCACCACTGCCCCCCTGGGCTGCCCTGCTCATTCCCTCACTCCCATTTTACATCACAGCTGGTTTTCTTCCCCTTTTATTCAAGCTCAACTCCTCTGCTTTTATTTCTGGCAGGGTTATTTTTCTATTTGAGTTTGGCTCTGTTTGCCAAGGCCGCACCCTTGTCACCTCCTTATTCTGATCCTCTCCTTTGTTGACTAAAGGCCTTCCTCTCCTTCCTTTTATCGGTACTTTTATCTCTTTCTCCATTATCTTTTAGTCCCCTTGATTCTTACCCCTCTCTTTTGCATATGACCCAGCTTGTTTTACTTGTGTTACTTGGAGGATTTAAGACTTTTTCTCCTTGACAGCTTTTCTTCCCTGCCCCTGGAAGGCTCTCTGTGCTGCTGGACATGTGGCAAAGAGCAAATGCATTTATTGCTGCAGATGGGACAGCTGCAATCCGAGGTGGATGGAGAGTGACTCCAGGCTGGGGTGATCTCAGCAGATCTCTACTGCCATCTTAGCCACCCCCCACATATTTACAAGACCACGTTTTTCCTCTTTTGCAGTCACATCTTTGCAGCTGGGATGCCTCTTACCTAAGGTATTTGAGGTAAGAGAAGGTTTAAAGGAATGCTGAGGGTTTGCTTGCAGGTCTGAGTGATCAAAAAAGGTGCAGCAGTGTCACAGTGTAGGTTTCTATTTGCAGTCCCACTGCTGCTGGCCTCTTTTGTCACTCACTGACAATGCCTGAAATATGGCTGTAGACAAAATGTTTGTGACAGTGGCTGGAGATTGCAAAGCTGGGCAGGATATCCCATCTATCACAGCATCACCTGGCTGGTTTGCATCGTGTGTGTCCTGGTCACTGCCAGCAAAGCAGTGTTCATGGTTTTCTGGCATTTCAAAATCACTTTATTTCTCTCAAATTTTGCCCGGATAAGGGCAGAAGTGAGAAGATAATGAGTTTTCTTTGATTAATCTCACTTGGTTAAGCTCTCCTTCCTCTGTGCTTTGTATTTTTACCAACTACTGCAGCAAGAGTCCTGGCATGTACGAAGCAGTTCAGGATAAACAGGGAACCTGCTGCCACTAAAAATCCTGACAGACCAAGGACTGATCCTACCTGCTCACAGAGCTTGATTTTGCATCTCTTCAGCCAAATGGTGATCTTCCCTCTGGCTGCATGGAGCAGACTCCTGCTTTAGGGACCAGGGTAATTCCTAAGAGCCACACAGGTGTCCAGCCAAGCAAACCCTCCCTGAATGTTGCACTATTTCCCCATCTACTCAGCCTGACCTCCTTTACTCCAAACAAGTTTTTGCATTTCAGATTTCCACAGCAGCAAGCTGTCATTGACAGTGTGTGACCAAGTCTGGGCTGTTCAAACACACCCACACCCATCAATGCCACTGTCACTGCCTGTGACCCCATTGCTGAAGAGCAGGTGCATGGCACCCTGGCCAAGACACACAGGGCTGTTCCTAGAAGATGCCTGTTCCAGAGCTGGATTGCTGCCTGCTTCCTGCTCTCCAGGCCTTTATGTAATCTTGAAGCAGTGCAGCTTCACCAGGTTCCTTTGTCTTTGTCTAACCAAAGTGCAAAAGCTGTTTTCAGGTGGGAATTTTACTTAGGACTATGTAAAATGTGTAGGCAGAAAGTGCTGCAAAAGACCAGGTCATTCATTCCAGGCCTGAGTGAATTCTTTCCCTGTCCACACTTCTCAAACTCTGGCCCATGTTTTCAGCAGCTGGAGAAATTATCAACCACATCACACAAAAGGAAAGACTTATTCACTTTTTTTTTTTCCCCACAACATAAGGAGAGCCACTCCTGTGAAATCCTCTCCAGATCTGTGGGTCCAGGTTGCTGGTTTTCTCCATGTAGGCATGTAAAAATCATGAATTGTGAAAAAAGGAGTGATGAAGTGCTCTTTGGAGCACTTGCAGAATAGCCATAGTTTGGATAATGACAATTTTTCTTTCTCTGGGTGGAGTTTAAGCCATTTGGGAGTTGTTAATTGTACATTGATATGAACAGGAAGGGGAGCATAACATAAAGAGGACAGCAACCACCCTGAGGCTGGCTGGGAGATTTGTGTGGCTGCTGGTGTCAAATGCTGAAGCAGAAATTGGTTTGACATTTTGGAGGGGAAGGCAGTGCTGGTCAGTCCTGGCTGCTGCCCTGGGTACCTGCTGATTCAATGGCTCTGAGGATAATGCATTTTGCAGCAGAGAGGAGATTGTGTCTGAGCAGTTCTCAGGAGGAATTGTGCCATCACACTCCACAAACAGCAAGCAGTGCCAAGTTGTGAAAGGGCTTGTGTCAGTAAATCACCTGTGATGTTTTTGGCAGGCATCTAACCAACACCCAGGGAAGGCTCACAGACTGGTGATGCACCATCTCCTCACATTTTGCACTCTCTGCTGGTGAAGGTAGGCTGGATATCCCTGCCTTGGCCCCCTAGAGGGATTTCTGGCCAGGACAGTGGTCCATGAAAGATGAAACAGAAGTCAGGCAAAGAGTAAGATATTGTCATTTGCCCCTGAGGTCATGTAGGGTCCCAGAAAAAACCATTGCTGAAAACCAAGGAGTCCTCAGTCCCAGACTCAGAGAGGAGGTGCAGTGTGTGTAAAGCTGTGAAAGTACCCCAGGAAACCCAGGCCATTCACATGGAGTATGTCCAGCTATAGACTAGCAGAGATACCCACACACAAGGACAGTGGGGATTTAGACATTTTGGGGGCTAGACTCGAGTCCTGGATAAGCTTCAGCTTTGCTCCAACTAACTCAGCTTTATTATTTTCTTGAGAGTGAGTACAGTGCAGAGCTCTCTCCCAAAAGCTCTGGAAGCTGCTGGTCCAGTTCAGAAAGGTGGCTGGGTGTGTGATGCTCCTCTCCAGTGATTTTTACTGCACAGTAGCTTTTAGCCAGGTTCCAGCAGCATCCTGGTGGCACCAGTGTAAAAGCATTTGGCCTCTTTTGGTTTGGACACTCATCCATGAGGCACTGAGAGAGAGTTACCCACAGTGAGCATTACAGCTGTTGGTCACTGCTGACCTGGGCCAGCTTTGATTGCTGATCCTGAGAGGTTTCACTCTGTCATTCTTCTCCAGAGGTTTCTGCTCCTCCTAGAAAAAAATATTCAAGGGCATTTCTAATGGATGCAGAAAAAACAAACAAACACATCCCCAGGCTTTTAGGTATTGCATTGCTTCCTGTGACCCTCTCTCCTCCCAGCAATGCCTAGATTTCAAGTTGCATAGGCTGGGTGGAATATATTTTAGAACAAGACTCTATTTAGCCGTGATGTCAACTGCAGCCAACTATAAAAAGCTCAGTAATGCTCTTTGAAAGTGTAACAGCTGCTGCTCTACACAGTCCCTGGTGTATTACAAGTCCGCCCTACTTCATGTTCACACAACCAAAATAAAATACAATAGCAATCATTTAAATAGTTCAAGGAATTTGGGACATAATCTCCCCAGAAACCAGGAGGAATTCAAGGTTAGACAAACTGAGTAATTTTGCATGGTTTGTTAACAGAAAGGGAATTTGCAAAATTGACTTTTACCTCCCATTGACTATGTGCTATCAATGATCCTTACACAGTGACAACAGAGCAGCAAACCTTCCTTTGGGCAGCTCTGCTGGGTGTTGTTCACACACACAAACTGAGCATTTTCATCCTTAACTGGATTTGGTCATGTATATTTAGAAAAACACTGATCAGGCCAAAATTTCCCATAAAAGCAGGAAAGGAAACAGTTGAACAAAATGTTTTTTATTAATCCAGATGAATAGACAGAAGTGAATGACTGTGGAATTATGCTAGCACTGCACACCCTCACTGTACTGGAGAGGTGGTTTTGGCTGGGTCTCTGTTAAGGACAGTCTTGAAATGCTGGATGTTGTAGTAAAGTGTTTTGGTTTTTGGTTTTTAAATCTGAGCAATAAACATTCAGGAGTGATCCCCACATTTCACTCTGTGGACTTGCTTCTGTTGAGGACTTGGAAAAATCTTCCAGGCATTTGTCTGCTTTACTAGAAAATGGGAAAGTTTGAGCAACCTGCCCAGAATGATGTGAAAGAGTGGCAGAGCAAAAAGGTGAGCCTGGCTGTGCTTTCCCCCTTCCCCAGCTGCTGGCCTGCCATCTGGTGAGCTGACATTACCAGTGGCACATCCAATTCCATTGTCTGAAGCCAACTGAGACAGCTCAAACAGTACAAGTCCAGGAAGCAACAGCTACATAAAAAAGAAGGGAAGTTTCAGAAGAAAATCTCCTAAGTGCCCAGTTTGCTTGAAGTCCTGCTGGGCTGAACTGTGGCTTGGCAGGGCCAGCACCCTCCTGCCTTTCTGCATCCCTGACAGGGCTAATCAGTGCAAAGTGGCTGCAATGTTGCAGGCAGGGTGGTTTGGTTTGTAGTGCAGATTGGCCTTTGTAGTGTGGGTGGGCAGCAGGCTGTTCCAAGGGACGTGCCAGCTCCTGTGATAGGGGTTTGGAGCAGCCCTGAGCTCACCAGTGTGTGAGGAAATGTTTGGCTGCCAGACATGGCTGTTCCCAGAGGTGACAGGAGGCTGTTCCCAGAGGTGACAGGACAGTCAGGCAATGGGAGCAATGGTCTGGCACCAGCCAGAGCCATGGGGATGGAAACATGCACACCATGGGATGGGCTTGGCGTGTCTCTGAGCACTGGCTGCACCCAGCCCCCAGGAAGGGATGTTTGATCCATGAGGGAATCAGAGGCACCCAGCAATGAAAGCAAGCATACAGAAAGCTTGGGAGGGAGCCAGGGAGCCGCCCCAGTACCTGTCCCTCCCTCCCTGAGAGCTCTCTGGAAACCCCCTTGGGCTCCTGGCTGTTCATGGTGTGAGCAGGAAAAGGACCTGGCTGGGGAGGTGGTTTCTTCTACCCACAGATAAACATGCAAACACACAGAGTATGCTTGTTTAAACAAAGTGACACTGAAGAAAGGTGACTTGTGTCAACACACAGAGACTCATTTACATGCTGCAGTGTGTAGCAATATGGTGTCAGGTAGGAGCTGGCACATTTCTTGTGTCCAGCCATGTACACATAATGGTATCACAGGGGGAGACCAGTTGCTGTGGAGTTAAAGGTTGTGTTTTCTTTAACAGCACCTAGGAAACAGGGTACTGGAAATCCTTGAACATTCAATAATTCCCAGCCAGTGCCTCTAACAGTTTGTGCAGATTATTTAAGATTTTACTATATCCCTTGACAACTAAGAACTCAGTTCTTTAGATGTTGGGCAGCCTCCATTCTAAATAGGGACAGCTGAAACTTTTCACAAAGCTTTTCTTTACCTTTGTCTGAGGATTTGTGACAACCAAGTGGTTCCACACTTCTAGAAGTGAGACTGGTGAATTGTTGTCCATGAACCCATTTGATTAAAGAAGAGAAAAAACAATCCTGCAATCCTAGATGGGTGACAAGATGAAATTCTCTGTCTCATAAAACAGCCATGGAAACCTCAGGCTCCCAGTGCTCTGACTCCCTGGCTATGATTTTCCACAGTGACCAAGTGATTTATTTAATCCTTTCACTACTTCTTTGTAGTCTTGGATCTTTGAGGTGTCAGGAGGAATCATCAAACCAACTCCTGCCACACCTTAGAAGGGAACATCTTGTGCTGTATCACTGGGGAATAAAAAAAAAAACCTACTTCCTTTCAAAACACATGTTTTTCCCTGTAATATATTTTACAAGTTGAGGAAAACAAGTCCTTTCAAAAACTAACATTACCTGAAAATTTGGACCCCTTTGCAGTGAATGTGATCCCAAAGCTAACATCATGTTTCTTTCACATATGGTTATAACAATTTTTCTTCTTTGGATCTCCATGACTTTCCAGCTCTTCTAAAGGATTTTTCTCCTGTCTCTTAGATAACAGTTAGAAAGATGAAAATTGTTAGATATTTTGTTGTGCATTGGATTACTTGCCTCTAGGTAAGCATTATTCTCATCAAACCAGATAATATTGGATACTCCTACTTATTTCCATGGGATTTGGGAGTCCTAACCAGGATCAGCCCCTTCCTGACATGATCACTTAAGCCAAGGGACTGGACTATTCTCTTAAAGTAATCAACAGTGAGATAATTACGTTTTTGCACCCAAAATGTAGTGAGGTGGGTTGGAACAAGTAGCCACTGACCTGTAAGTGGCATTTCACACCACAGTGATAAGGTTCAACCCTCAAAGATTGCTACTGCCCTCTTTTTGGATAGAGAGGATTAGCAAGAACCAGCTGTCTGCCATGGGCACACTACCAGTGATGCCTGGGACTCCATCCAGCAAGGAATTTCCTCCCCTGGGTTTTGATCTAGAAAGAAATTTCACTTGATGCTCTGAATGTTAGAGCCCATTCTTTAGCTGGAAAATGCCATTGTTTTGTTGTTCTTTAAAGGCTACTGAAGAATTGCAGTGATGGGCATTCTGTGGCCTGTAATTAAATCAACACCATGAGATATTAATGTATTTTGATCCTAAGGGCTTGTCTATACCAGAATATGGTTTTTTGCTGTATGTTAGTGATGCTAAAGACACACTCCTCATGCCTATGTGTGTATAGCTACACCTAAAAGAGGGCTTTTATCAGCACAAGACCCAGTTCTTAACTCACATGATTGCACTAAGGCTCCTTGAGTGCAGCCCAGCTTATACAGATTCTGCAGGCAGAAGGACACCAGAGAATTGCTCCTTTCATCATGACAGTGTTTTATCTCAGGGGCCAGGGCTGACAGACATTCTGAGTGTTGTTAACCTCTGCTGCTTTAGGACTGGTGTATAAGAGCACATCACAGTGAATCAGGCATTCAAGTACTTCTCTCCTGGGAATGTTGTTCAGGAATCTAGCTGGTGAAATGGACTGACCTTGGTTAAGCTTTTCCTTTGAGAACTATTGCCCTGTTTTTCCCACACATGCCAGCCATCCCAGACCCCACTTAACAAGGTACATTATGAGGTTCCCAGTGGATGACTCCATGATTACTTTAAATTATATGTTAATATGTTGTTCCCCTCTTCATTCAAAGGTTTCATTACCTTTTAGCAAAGCATGTGAAAGGAAAATGATTCATGTATCTCTGTTCTTAAGAGAAAAACATATGATGTGTTCAGCAGCAATTCCTCTCAGTCATCAGCAAGATAGGGACCAGAAGGTGTGTAAATAAACTAGAGACAATTTTAGCTGAAGGGGCTGGGCCAGACTATGGATGTACTAAACATGACAGTGTTGAAGTCTGGGATGGTGAAAAGCAAGGGCTTGGCAGCTTAAGCAGATCCCCCCTGCTGTTTCCTTTGCCATCTCCCTCATTCCCACTCCTCTCCTTGCAGCCTTTCACCCTGACAATTGTACTGACTCAGTTTACGGGGCTGGGCTGTGAATCAGATCTGGGAATAAAGCCAGGAGGGAGAGAGGGAGAAGAGGTATAAAAGGAAGGAGGCTGCATTTCACTGCAAGCCAGTATTGCCACTGAAACCCCCTTGTAGCAAACTGCAGCCTTCTGCAATGATGGAGACAGGAGCCACAGCTTTTCCAAAAGGAGCATCTGCAAGCCAAGAGAAGGCACAGTTAACCAGTGCAGCCCCTATACAAGCTTATCTTTGTGGCTCTTGCACTGCTGGGAAAGGATGTTACTGCTTATCTCCCAAAAAGAGAGAGAATGGGAAGTCCTGGCTCAGTCCTTTGTTCTGTGCTGTCCATTAGGAAACTGAACTGAAAAGGTTTTAGCTCAAAGTTTCCATTTTTGTTCACTAGCCTCACTCTCCATAATCTGCTCTGATTTTATTATCCTCAATAGGAAATAAAAAGAAATGAGAGGAGAAAAAAGGTGTCAAAAGACTATTGCCAGTCTGGTGAGTCCTGTGTGATTCTCAGCAGTTCTGCTGTGCAGTACATTTCACTTTATAGTTGTTACCACTGTGAGTAACTTCCAAGGCCCACAAAAGCCACAAAGGAGTGGAAGTCAATAGATTTAGTCCTGCCAGCCTCTCCACTAGTCCACAAATCAGCTGAGGTTGGAATTGCCTGCTGGAGTGCAGTACTACTCACACTGAACAAGGCAGATAAAAATACACTTCCTGTACTGAAAAGATGTTCATTAGAGCAGAAGAGCACAGGTAGGGCAGCAAACTATCGAGTGATCTGACTCTGGCAGGGCAGCAGGATGGCTGGATAGGCGTGGCTGCTCTTTAGGCTGCAGTTTGGTATTGCAGCTGGGCTATGTACAAGCTGGTCTCTGTTTCCCATTTGCACTGCTTTCCCTATGTTGCATTTAGTGGCTGTGCAGCCACAGGGAGAATCTGCTCATCTGGCTGACAACAGGAGCAAACCAACCATGCCATAAAAATGAGGAGCTTTCAGCCATATCAGTCAGCTGGATCAACTCACCCTGAAGCCACTCCAGTGCAAGGGAAAGGGCAGGGAACACAGCTGGGAGCAGCAGTGCAGTGCCACCACTGCTATTTGGCATTAGCTCAGGGCTGTACCTGCTGTGCCCAAAGCTCCCCCATCCTCATTTCCCTGCTCCTGGCAGCGTGCTCTTGCTGCTGCCAGAGGTTTCCCAACCCCTTGGTGAACCAGGCCTGCCCTCTGAGCCAGCAGAGAACTAACCCAGCTGCTCAAAAAGGTGAAGAGGGTTGCTGAGAGGCCCAACTAGCATAAGAGCTGGCAACCAGGATGTTGATGGGAGTGTGTGGTGTGTGGCTGGGAGCAGGCCAGGGCTGCAGACATCTCATCAAACCTCATTCTCAGTTTAACTCAAAGCAGGAGAAATCACCCCAAACAACAACATAAAAACGTGAGCCACAGCTGAGCAGCTGAGAACCAGCCACATGCTCTCCACTAAAGAGTGCATCTGATAATTAGAGAAAGAGGGACAGGCTTACTGCATGCTTTTGGAAGGTGTGTTATCCTTCTGTTTGCTGAGAAGGAGTGACGTGGATAGCGCCA